CCAGGAGATCTTTTAATCGTGTCTGTTTGTTGTAAATTGTGTGGCCAATTTTCATCAAGTATTATTTTTGTTCAATTTTAAATACAAAATTTAAAATGATTTCTGACCTCACGGTATACAATGAATGTACATGATTAGAAGAATTCCAGAATCCTCACAAAAAGAATTCGGAGAAGATCGTCATTCCTAGTGGTGCGCCAATGGGACCCATGTCAGCCAAGATGTAGTCTATGTGATCCACATCATCAATTAATAGGAATTTTAACGGTCATACATTGCAAGCAAATTCTAGGTGGTAAATAAAAATAAATAAAAGATCAGGTGATAAATATGCACACCAGCAAAAGTTTACATGGTATTTGTGTAAAAGTCTACCGATAATATTAGCGATACTAAATTTGTTGACCAAATTTACAAATTAAATGATATGCCACCAATAGTTATGAGTACGTTTATTAATACTTAAGTAGTAATTCAATCATCAATTTTTATGTCATTTGGTTTACAAAATTTTATCGATAAATTTAGTGTCTCCAGCATTACATTATTCTACAAGTTACTCTCTCTCTTCTGTTTTTACTGGGTCCCACCAAATTCAAATAAACCCAACATGCATAATTGTACCGATTCATGATTCCAGCCACAACCATCCTTCAATGCAACCCAGCCACCAGAACAAAAATATAAACGAATTTTGAATTCTCTGCTCTTTGCTTTGTTATTAAATTATTGGAACTTAAATTTAAAGATTATTCTTTGTGCAAACTTTGGCATTTGAGTTTAATCTAATAGAATCAGTCCCATTTCATTTCGATATAGGCGGCTAATACTAATTTAATAAGTGAAGTAGTCATCTAACCAATTGATTCGGACACTAGACCGTTCGTGCCCGCTCTTTCTGTCTTGTCTTAAATGGAATGGCTCTCTTAGTTATGCTGCGTCCCGACCCGGGTTCCCTTGTCCGCTCTTCACCGCTCGTGGCCCAAGAAGTTGGCTTTGCCAACACAACACTAGGAGACTCTCAAAAGTAGGATTCTGTTTGGATTCTTTGCTACCTCATAGTGTAATATTAATTCTCTTCTCAATATTATGAAACATTGTTCTAAAAACATGAAATGTCAACGAGTCTATAGGGAGTTCCATTTTTTTAAGTCTCTTTAACATTTCTCAAACAATAATCCAACCCAATTTGCTCTTCCTCATTTACCGGAACCTTGAATAGATTGATCTCCAATTTTAACTGGTCGTTCATGACCTTTCGGTCATAATCCCCCTCCTCCATAAAAATAAATAAATAAATAAATAAAATAAAAATAAAAATTACCGCCAATTGGGGTACACGGCCAATTAGGGTACAAGAGATCATAAGAGCATCCCCAATGAGGGCTCTATCCTCCATGAGACTATTACATTTCAAGCCTTAGCAAGAAATTTCATACCTAGTGAGCCGGAAAATGGGGCTAGATCCACCACTAGGGCTAACAACTTCCTTTCTTGAGTAGCATAAAATCAGGCTACATCTAGCCCTGAAAAACAGTGGGTCCCACAAAAAGTAGTAACCTATGTGAGCAAAATTCTATCACTCACACCCCACTTGCGAATACATTTATACTCTTATTTTATTTTATTTTTAAATGTTTTTTCTTATTTTTCTTGCAATTTGGCTAATTAAATGATTATTTTAAATTTCATAAGAATAAAATTTCAAATTGATTTAACGTTCATGTGCATTGGTGGGTGAAATTTTCAAATAAATTTTTTTTTTCAAAATTATATGATACTAATTTACCAATTGGTGCTAGGTAAATTGTTGTGTTATACATGAAAATCAAATAATTTCAGAGGGCAAAGTGAGAGTTTGTTTTTTTTCAACGGATGAGATTGAGATAAGAGAATATAATCAACGAACAATTAATAAGTGATGAAATCTAACTTTGTACAATTGAACTTTTAGGTTGAAAGGTTCATTAAAAAAAATTTAAGATAGTACGTCCAAAATTAACTTAAGAAAAGTCAAAAAATAAAAATAAAATAATCATCACTTAATCAAATTACTACATATATATAGCCCCATATACAGCCCGAAAGATATAGCCCCTCATTTGTTAGATCCCACATCGCCCAAGGGAGAGGATCCTCTATGCCTTATATGTACATGCCCACCTCTATAGAGCACGAGGCCTTTTGGGAGCTCACTTACTTCGGAGTTCATCGAAACTCCAAAGCTAAGCGAGATAGTGCGCGAGCAATCCCAGGATGGGTGACCCACTGGGAAGTTTTCGTGTGAGTTCCTAGAAACAAAATCGTGAGGGCATGGTTGGGGCCCAAAGCGGACAATATCGTGCTACGGCGAAATTGAGCTCGGGATGCGGTGGAGGCCGGGTCAGCATGTGACAATTTGGTATCAGAGCCAATCCCTGGCTGGAAGTGTGTCGACGAGGACATCGAGCCCCTAAGGGGGGTGGATTGTTAGATCCACATCGCCCATGGGAGAGATTCCTCTATGCCTTATATGTATGTGCCCACCTCCATATAGCACGAGGCATTTTGGGAGCTCACTGGTTTCGGAGTTCATCGGAACTCCAAAGTTAAGCGAGATCGCGTGAGAGCAATCCTAGGATAGGTGATCTACTGGGAAGTTCTCGTGTGAGTTCCCAGAAACAAATGTGAGGGCGTGGTCAGGGCCCAAAGCGGACAATATTGTGCTACGGCGGAGTCGAGCCCGGGTCAGGATGTGACATCATTAGAAAATATTATTTTATAAAGCCCTAAAGATTCTTCGAAGCTTTAAGGGCTGGTTTGGTATTGTTGTGTTTTGAAAAAAAAAAAAAACTGCTTCTAGTGTGCTGTGAGAATAAGCTTATTTTTGCTGCTTCACGTTTTCAGTTTTTTTTTTCGCCCAAAACTGTGAAAATAAGTTGTTTTAAGTGTTTACCAAACACCTTTTTGAACTCAGCTTTTTTTTATACCCACTTTTTATAAAAGCACCTCAGTACTAAAATGAGTCATATCTACTACTTTTCTAACTATATACCAACAAGCTAGATTAAGCAAAATGCGGAAAACATAAATGTAGAGACTCGGATCATTTCCGACTTCCCCATATGTATATTTGACATGGAATAAAAAAGGGTAAATTACATAATACCCCCTTAGGTTTGAGGTCTATTACAACCCCATACAACATCTTTAAAACATTTCACTTTTATACCTCACCTACTATTTTATTTTAATTTCATACATCCGTTAGAAAATCTGTTAAGTAAACCGTTAAGTGATGACATGGCAAATAAGGGGTCCCCATTTGTTCTAACGTGGCTGCCATATTTGTGCCACGTGACTAAACACTTAATAAAAAATTTAAAATATTAAAATAATTAACTAAAGAAAAGTTATTAAAAAAAAAAAAACAAACAAACAAACACAGAATTCATATTCCCCGACCCACCCCCTTCTCCTATCCATCATCACCCACCCCAAAATCCCACCCGACCCACCCCTTTCTCCCATCCCCCATCACCCCTCCCAAAAATCTCCCACAATCCACCCCCAAAAATCCCACCCAAGCCCACCCCCTCCGTCGGTGGGACCTAAACCTGACCGGTCGAAGTTCGAACTCGACTCCTCTGCCATCGTCTTCTGCGAAAAAACCATCGATGATGTTGATTTTCCCCAATACCTAAAGTTGGTGTAGAGGGACCCGTGAAACAGCCTCTTCCTCTTCAATTGCCGGAAAAACTGGGAAATTTTCCCAAGATGAATCTACCATAAAACCAGTCCAAAAATCATATACCATACCAAAAATTGATACTAAACGACGAGAGAAATTCACCCAAAGTATTTTTGAAACTCACCCACACTGAAAATCAAGAGATCCTGACCGAAAAATATGGAGGTCGTGGTCTGGGTTCGCGTTCGTAGTTCGAGGTCTAGGTTTTTGGGCTTGAAGGTTGGTAAACCTCGTCGAGGTGGCGAGATTAGGTGTTGGTGGTGTGATTCGAGGTCTTTGTGCAAAACCAAGAGAGTGAGAGTGAGGTGAGAGAGTTTGAGATGAGGAGGAGAGGAAGAGCAGGACAAGGTATGGTGGTTGAGTGGTTCTCCGCCATGAAAATGGCGATGGTGGTGATCTCGGTGTTTCTGGGTTTGCAGAGGAAGGAGATAATCTCGGGTGGGATTTTTGGGGGTGGGTGATGGGGGATTTTTGGGAGGGGTGATGGGAGATGGGAGAAAGGGGTGGCTCGGGTGGGATTTTGGGGTGGGTGATGATGGATGGGAGAAGGGGGTGGGTTGGGGAAGATGATTTCTGGGTTTTTTTTTTTCAGTTAATTATTTTAATATTTTAAATATTTTATTAAGTTTTTAGCCACGTGGCACAAATGTGGCAGTCACGTAAGCACAAATGGTTTACTTAGGGTTTCTAACGATTTACTTAACAGATTTTCTAACTGGTGTATGAAATTGAAATAAAATAGTAGGTGAGGTATGAAAGTGAAATGTTTTAAAGATGTTGTATAATAGACCTCAAACCTGAGGGGGGTATTATGTAATTTACCCTTTTTTTTTTCCATGTCAAATATACATATGCCACGTCATTACTTAACGGTTTACTTAACAAATTTCTAACGGATGTATCAAATTGAAATAAAATAGTAGGTGAGGTATGAAAGTGAAATGTTTTAAAGATGTTATATGAGGTTATAATACACCTCAAATCTGAAGGGCTGTTATGTAATTTAACCAATAAAAAAGGATCATGGCATTAAAGGGTCCCAATCCACTGTTCCCACCATTCCGTGTTCCTTTTAATGAGCCTCTGACCACAAATTTCTTCCTTTTGACCACTCAACACTGGCCTTGGAATGGACTTGTATTTACCTTCTAGCTAGAAGCCTAGAACAATTGTCCCAGTCACACTCCGTACATACACGCGCGCGCATATATATATATATATATATATATGTATGTATGTATATGTATATGTATGTCGACTTCATGAATAAAGAAACTACTCTCTCTCTCTCTTCAGCTTGGTCAAATATGTAGCCGCATACTCTTACGACCTCGCACAAGGACATATCTTCATCATTTAATCCAACTTCCAGCTTCTTAATTCTCATCCCCTCCATCAAATTTTATCATTTGTTAAACATACATCCACTTTTTTTCTCATGGATGACGTAGAAGTTCCCCAGTATTTCATCTGCCCAATATCTCTTCAGATCATGAAGGACCCTGTGACAGCCATTACAGGCATCACGTACGACCGGGAGAGCATCGAGCACTGGCTATTCCAGAGCAAGAACATCACATGTCCCGTCACCAAACAGCCACTCCAGAAAGACTCCGAACTAACGCCTAACCACACGTTGCACCGCTTAATTCGGGCATGGTGCACTGAGAATGCCTCCTACGGCATTGATCAAATACCAACTCCGAAAACACCTCTCAACAAAGCTCAAGTCCTCAAGCTCCTCAAGGACTTCTGGCACCCTCAGCTCCAGCTGAAGATTATCAGAAAGTTGGAGCTCCTCGCGGTGGAAAAAGAAGGGAATAGGAAGTACATGGTGGAAGCCGGCGTGGCTAATGCCATGTTATTATTCATTACAAACAGATGTTACAAGAACGACCAGGTGGATGGCCTAGAAGAAGCCCTTAGCATACTTCACTTTGTTCGGATTTCGTCTGAAGAATTAAACCGTCACTTTATGGAAAACAATCAGATCATCGATTCGTTGACATGGGTTTTTGGTTGCGAAATTGAGAATCAAATCACGGTGAGTACGTATGCGGTGTTGGTCCTAAAATATATCATCCAAAAGGCAAACTCAAGCGTGCTAGAAACCCTAAACCCTGATTTTTTTAAGAAACTTGTTGGGGTTTTGAGAAATGGGGTCACAGAACAAGGGATGAATGCAGCTCTACATGTCATGTTAGACGCTTGTCCTTGGGGAAGAAATCGAATCAAGATGGTCGAAGTTGGGGCTGTTCACGAGCTCATCGAGCTTGAATTTGGTGCACCGGAAAAGAGAACAACGGAGCTCATTTTTGGTATATTGTTTCATTTGTGTTCTTGTGCTGATGGGAGAGCTCAGTTTGTTAGTCATAAAGGAGGCATCTCTGTTGTGTCAAAGAGACTCCTTAGGGTTTCTCCAGCAGCTGATGACCGAGCAGTTTTGATCCTTTCTATGATATGCAAGTACTCAGGAACCAACTTGGTGCTTCAGGAGATGTTGGAAGTTGGAGCTGTTGCTAGGCTTTGCACTTTGATCCAAGTTGACCGTCCTCCATACTTGAAAGGCAAAGCAAGGGAAATCCTTAGATCACATTATGAGGAGTGGAAGAACTGTCGTTGTCTTGGTAATTCTCTGTATCCCAAATGACCAAATACAAAATGTGTTCATACGAATTAAATCTACCTACTGTTTATGATATGTTCAAAACTTGAGGGGGTTTTGTGAAAACACAAAAAACCTCAAGGGATGTATGTGTAATTAATTCCTGTTTTCACAACAATAATGTCAACCACCTTCATTCTCTGAAATCTACATTGCAGTTTTACAAATTCACTCTGCATTGCAATTTCTTTTTTATTACAGTCAAATTTGTCTCACCTTTTCTCATTTTCAACTAGAACATATTTCGAATCAAGTTAATCGCTTATGGCTTACGGTTTACATATCTAGTTTGGTAATCCACAATCCACAAATCACTAGAAAATCCTGAACCCAAACCAAATTTAAACGTATAAGGACTTGTTTGGAAGTGCTTTTAAAATGACTAAAATCGCTTTTAGTGGAACTGATTTTAAGTTCCAAAAGCATTTCAAGTGGTTTTTGGAAGAAGCACTAGATATGTAATTCTTGCAGCAATCGTTTCAATTGCTTTTCCAGAATCCACTTTACCAAGAATTGGTTTAAATTTTTTTCACCAAAAGCGCTTTCTGGTATTCTAAAAGCACTTCAAAACAAAGTCTAGTACTCATTCTAAAACTCCAACACCAGAAGCTAATATTAAATGTAACTAATTTGACTATAATAAAACGAAAACTATAATGTAAAGTCTGAATCTGCAAGCGAAACCCGCAATTGAGGAATTCTGTGTGTCATATTCCTTATGTCTAGTGTATTTATTTTTACTAACAAGGGAGAGAGAATCCTTTTTGCTCTCCAAGTATACAATTAGATATTTGTAGAATCCTATGTATAACCTACTAGGACTTCCACAATCACACTCCTAATGAAATTAGACTACAATTGAGATAGGATTTTTACTATCTGCAAAAGTAGAAATAAAACACTCAAAATACTTACAAGAGTACTGGATAGTTATAGTATGAATGCTCATGTAAGGTCATTCTTTGCAGAAATTATATAAAATAAGTTATGTTGAAACCAAATCTTAATTAATTATTTAAAACAAAGTTTAGAAAAATTGATTTTATAATTTAAAATAATAGAAAAAGAATTTCAGTAAAAACAATTAAACGAATCGGCAAGAAAGCAAATTTAAGAAACAAATTGTAAAAAACACGATTTTGAGCCAATGAAAAAAAGACACTAGGGTTCCGCAACCCCCTTAATAATACTATGTCGTTTTATCATTCACTTATGAATTACACATGGAACTCTAAAGGTTAGGTGTTCCTGATACATATTCTACTTGTGGCATTCAAGATAGAACGCATATTAAACATGCAATTCATTTGTGGCATTCAGATCAAATGTAAATATGCATGACTCATTATGCTTTGTGAAAACCTTTTGAAAAATCATGCGACCCTTAAGAGCATGACATTCGTCTTAAGTGAAATAACAATTATCAATCACAAGAAGCCCTACTCAATCTTCCGGTGATATTCTGATCGAATTGCATCTAATTACTCGTCTAAACATCCTAATGGTGGTCAATCATCAAGACATATAGATAATTTAAAAGTAGTAATTAATAATTCAAAGTATACATGCATAACATCATAAGCAATTTAATAAAGACTACATATTTATGTTAAGGCTCGTGGCGTCGTCCTAGCAAAAGGAATTAGTTACACATAATTATAATTAAAAACCAAAATATTATTATGAAAATGATAGAGAACACCTTGTAAAATGAAGTTGAATCGTAAAAGTTCTCTATGCATAGTTCTCCAAAGTAGTGCACATAGAACCCTAATGGCTAGTTGTGCCTTATTTAAACTAATACAAATCCTTCCTAGAAAATGTCTTTAAAAAACTAGGAAACAAAATAAATTAAGATAAACTAGAAAACAATCTCCTACACTAATGCAGACCATCAGCCCAACCACAAATATGCCATGTTTATGGGCCAAATTAGCTCCATAGTTGGCCCAAGAGGTCTCTTTAAAGTTTGAGCTGTCCTAAACATCTTTGTAGAAGGGCCCATCACCAGAAAATGTCATCTTAGACACCAAAAAGCCCAAATAAACCTGAAACATCACTTTGCCAGCTTTGCGCGTTGGTCCTTTATTAATTCGTCATAAATTAACAGCTCAACATAAAAATATGAAACTTTGACATGAACAAGTTGAAAGACTCACGGACACCCTCCGATTGGAATTGCTCCAAAATTCATCTATTTGATCACTTTTTACTCAAGAGAGATTCGTATGTCCTACATTAAAAATATAATTCAAAGTATCAAAATATCACCAAAATAAATACCAAAATATACTAAGAATAGGATGGAATATCACTACAAGAAAACAGGCTTTAGGTGACGGAATTATATGTGGCGCTAAAACTTTCATCACATTTAAATAAAATAAGTGAGGCTTTTGAAAAAGTGTCACATAAAGATTTTTTTTTTTTAACTTTTGTCTGTCACATAAGAATCTTAAATTCGTCACAAAATCAAGTGCGGGAAATTTTACCGCCCAATGAATTGTGAATAAGTGACAAAAATACATAATTCATCACATAATGTAAAAGAATTCAACATAAATATATGTCAAGATAAGCAATGAGCCACCCATTATATTAAAATTAGAAATAAAAAAAATGGGTACATTACATTTATCCTCTTAGGTTTCGATACAATTGCAACCTTATACAGCATCTTTAAAACATTTCAAAATTAATACATTTACTATTATTTTATTTTAGTTTCATACAATCATTACAAAGTCTGTTAAATTAACCGTTAAGTGATGACATGACAAATATGGGATCCTTATTTGTGCTGATGTAGCTGCAACATTTGTGCGACGTGGCTAAACACTTCATAAAAAATTTAGAATACTAAAATAATTAATTAAAGAAAAGTAAAATAATAAAATAAAAAATAAAACCAAAAATCACCTTCGTCGTCCCCACCTAAGCCCACCCCCCCTTCTCCCATCCCCATCACCCACCCCTTCCTTTATTAATTCTGCACCTCCATTTAACCCAAAATCCCAAATTCCCCTTCTTCTTCCCCACCCGAGCCCACCCCCTTCTCCCATCCCCCATCACCCACCCCATCCCCCATTAATTCTGAACTTCTCAAACCCAAAATTTGTAGAAAATTACTCACATAATGAAGACTTTCTTCAATTCGTGCATAGGTTAGCAGCGGGTTCGGATCTAGGTGGAACTGGACTTAGATTTGAGTTCTTCAAGTTGCGGGTCGGGCTGGAAGGTCCAAATCAAGCAACGGCGACATCGAGGTTCTACCGTGATGTCAATGCGAGACTTCTGTGCTCCACTTCCGTCAAATTCTTGAAGGTAGCTGAGAGTTCTGTGCACAGTGGAGCTCTCGTCAGTGTTCTGGTTCGTTCGACCATTGCACATTTATTCATCTAGGTCTCGTCAGGGTCCTAGTTTTTGTCGACAAAGGCGTCCACAAGAACCCTAGCGAGGAATTTGGAATTTTGGGTTAGATGGAGGTGTAGAATTAATGGGGGAAGGGGTGGGTGATGGGGATGGGAGAAGGGGGGGCTCGGGTGAGGTAGACGAAGGGGATTTTTGGTTTCTTTTCATTTTTTTTTTATTTTTTTATACTTTTCTTTAATTAATTATTTTAATTATTTTAATTTTTTTTAATCAAGTGTTTAGCCACGTGGTACAAATATGACAGTCACGTCAGCATAAATGAGGACCTCATATTTGTCATATCATCACTTAATTGTTAATTTAACAGACTTTGTAACAGTTGTATAAAATAGAAATAAAATAATAGTAAATGTATGAAATTGAAATGTTTTAAAGACGTTGTATGAGGTTGCAATTGCGCCGAAACCTAAGGAGTGGTATGTAATATACCCAAAAATAAAATAAAAAAACTGACCCCCAAATCTGAAATGAAAAAATCCCCATTGTTCTCCTCTCTCATGGTCTCCCCCCTTTCGTCTGTAGACTGTTCGGCTATCATATCGACTCCGACAACCAGCCAACTAATGGTTGGCCACTGGCGGCGACCACCACAACTTTCTAACCCTCTGCACCTTGCTTTTATTATCTGCTCTCTCTGACCTAACAAAAAGGAAAGAGGAATCTTCGATTATTCTGCTCTCTGTAACTTTCAAAGCTCCTTTTTAATTTCTAATTTGATCTTTGCTTCAGTATTGTTAAATGATTTGTGCTGAGGTGAGATTAACAAGTATTCTTGGACAAGGAGCTTTGAAAGTGAATGAGATCACGGTCTCAGGGAAGCAGAGCTCTTGGCATCTGTCAAACCTTGTTGATGCATCACAAGAGCTCTCCATTGTTCCTTAGAATGTCTCGCCTTTTGGCCTATACTTGCCTTTAGTTTCCCGATTTGGAGGTTCGTGACTAGTAATAGTTCAGATATATAGTTAATAAACTTTGCAAAATATATACTCGGCTAAAATACTACTCTAGTAATAGTTAATAAGATGGACCATCCACAAATAAAGAAACTCATATGGTAAAGAATCCCAAATGTTTAAGGGATGTGTTATCCACACATCATTTTTTACTTCTTACACATCCCTTGTTAATTTCTGTTTGTTGATCTTCTTCAATTCATCCGATCCGACGGCCGAAAACCAAAAAGGTGTAAGAGAAGTAAAAAGGGATGTGTGGATATCACACTCCATGTTTAAAATCTGCCGATCTGGATACAGTAATGAGCTATTTTGTACCCATCATCTTATGTGCTTTCTAGTTGATGGGTGTATGTAGCAAACATCAGACAAGACGAGGGTGGTCAATTTTGTGATCCTTCAGACTTTGAATCATCATCATCTCCAATTAGCCATTTCATACTTTAGTATTATCGTCAGATAAAATCACATTGGTTACCACCTTAATTATGAGTTTAATTAGGTCATTTGGGTAGTTAACTATACATCTCAACTATTACTAGAGTAATATTTTAGCCCAGTATCTATTTTGCAAGGTATGATTAATAAACTTTCTTTTTCTTTTCTCGACTTTTTCCTTGAGAATCATACCCTTTCCTTTTGTATGGGAACTATGTACAAGTTTAGTAAGCCTGGTAATAGCCACGATTAGCTGATGTTTGTCTATGTTGCACGGATACCCGGTCAACGTTCCGGACACGGTTAAGACACTGCGGGGGCTGTTTTGTAAATATTGATATTGAATTTGTGTTTCTGAGCTAATACGGAATTGAATTTCTGCTTCTGTGGGAAGATATGAAATTCCATAAATTGGAAACTGCAATTCAATTGCAAATCAGAAATTGAAAACTGGAAACTGCAATCGAATTTAGAGGTAGGTAGATGGAAGGATAGGTAAATTGATAGCAAAGCTCAATCGTTGAATATAATTTGGTTGAATGAATGGTAGATACCCCAGATTCTTCGTCAAGCAGGGAGAGTTAGAAAGAGAGAGAACAGAGGAGAGAGTAGTTTTCATTGGCTTCCTAGTTTACTTTGTTGATGTTCAGTATTTTCTTTTGGTAGGTTTTGTACTTGCACAGATTTAATCTCTCTCTCTCCGTTGGAGTATTGTTTTTAATATATGTATTTTGTAAAATAATGGCGATCTCTCTGTTATGTTGTTTGTTCTGTTTGAATTTTGTAGAAGCTGAAAGCTGGTTTGATTGTATGCTTATTAAAGATGTGCTTCCCATCTCTTCCCATGGAACTCTAGCCTTTGATAAGACCCAGGTAACTCTCTTTCACTGACATGAGATTAGGTCCTATTAACTTTTTAAGTATTGTAGTTTTCCCATATATAATAGTTGTCCTTAACTTGTTCCTATGAATAATTTGTGCTTTTGCTTTCAACGCAGCATGATTGTTGGGCTTTTGCTTGTTGAAGGTGATTTTGCTTGAACTTGGTTTCCTAGAAAACTTTTGAAAATTTACAAGGATTTGAGCAAAGGCTGAGCCATAAGTAATGTTTATATGAATTTGAGCTTGAGATTATTTAATAACAGTCTAAATAGTTGGGGTTGCAACTCCAACCCCACAATTAGCTTGAATGAATTTCTTCTTCTTCTTCTTCTTCTTTAATTTTTAGGTAATAGTTTACGGTTACAAGTTGATAGCTAGTTGGCTGACTTCTCTCCTTGTTATTTCAGTTACAGGTTTATTATTTACCATACTTACCTTGGCATCAAATTGAACTATAGCGAACTAGAATTTGTGCACTATGAGTATAGATTAATTGAGTTTGTTTGCTTTTTGTCGGTCAAGTTACTTGCGCTCTCCAACCAATGGTAGCAGCAGCGTAAGGGTCTTCATGGTCCAGTTGGGTTTCATGTAGTCTTATGATATTGGGAGTCATAGGTTGCTTAAGGTTTTTTTTTTTTTTCTTTGTGTAGGTTATTATTTCTAGGGAGTTTCTAAGCGACTTTTGCTCTCTTTGTACATGTTTAGTTTATCAAACATGTTAGTAATGTAAAAATTACTTCCATTGAATTATAAATTGTCATTATGATGTAGTTCATATTATTCATTTGCTTCTTCATTGAAATTAAAGTTTTAATTACTGATTATCACCCAAAATTATGAAAATAATTAATCGAGAAAAACAATATAAAATTATATTGAATTTAACACAGTATGTGACGAAACCATAAATCATCACACATTTCAAGACTAAGTGATGCCCAAAGCATCACATATTGGTTCAACTATGGAATTTGAGCTGAGAATGTGTGAGGAAAGTTGGGTCACATATAGAGATAATAAGTGACGAATGAAAAATTCGTCACATATAGTTTCAGTGACGCATCATAGGTGACACCCGTTGTGACATATGATATTTGTCATATATAGGTATATGTGATGAATTTCAGTGTATATGTGACGAAACCCGTTTCTCACAGAATCCATGTTTTCTTGTAGTATATATAATATCAAATCGACTCATCAAAATACATACGACATTACATGACACGATGGCGCAAAGTCAACACACACCTCAAGCGCCTAGTTTACGGTGCGTATTTATTTGAGGGGAACATGTTTTTTTGATCTCGGTAGTATGATTGTCGGGCCCTTTCCTCGTTCTCTCTGCTAGCCTATTGGGATGGTATAGCAATGAACATGAGGATGCTACTAGAAAATATGGTCCAAATGAATCACATATTAGTGTGATTTGGCTAGCGGAATCACCTGTATATATTTTATATTTTTTTTATTTGACGTTATCTTTTCGTAGTTTTACGTACATAAGGTAGTTTGCTTACTTAGCTCTTTCGTTGAGGACATTTGGATTTGAAGAAAATGTTAGGTAGATCAAAATTTTAAACCAAATGATCCAATCATCAATAACCACATCATTTGGTTTACCAAAATTTGATTTAAAAAAAAGCCTTCTCTTATGAGTGCTGATACTACCACCCCAGTGTCTTATTTCCCCACCCACCATTTAATAAAAATGTTAGTAACATATTTATCCTTTTATAAGAAGACTTTTAAACCCCTATTTATTAATTACTAAAATTTTGAAAAAACAAAAAATAATTTAAAATAATAAATAAATAATGGTGCGTGGGGTGTGATATCTGCGTCAAAAAGAGGATGTGAAAGATTCGGGCTACAATCAATAGAAAGGTTGGAGGAAGGTATGGGTGTGTGCTAGATGGAGGCGAGAAACTTCAACATAGGAGAAGGAGACTTGGTGGTGAGATCTGCAACTTTGTCAAAAAAGAAGAAAGAAGAGTGATTTGCGATCCGGAGTTTCTGCGGGGCTGCAATTGGTGTGACTAATGGGGTTTCTGGCGTGCAGCGGTGTTAGGTGGGTAGGGAATATTGGGCCGTAGAATATGGAATTTGGTGAAAATAGAGGGTGGGGATCTGGAAAAATCGGGGTGGCAAATTTGGGGTTAGTGGGAAGAGATTTTTAATGACATGCGTGGTTTGAAGGAGATGGTGAATGTCCAAATCTTGTATTTTCTTTCATTTTTATGTTTTAGATTATTTAAAGATATATTAGAGTTAATTAAAACAAATATTAGGGGTAATTTGGGAATAATGGTGGGTGGAGAAATAACATTTTACTATTTTAACTTTTTATATTGGGTGTGATTATCATGTGGGTAGGAAAATAAGACACTGGGGTGGGTCTAGTAGCACTCTCTCTTATTAGCCACGTAACGCAATCCATAAAATTGGCTTTTTTTTTTTTGAACAAATAATATTATCTATACTAAAGGAAAGGGATGGGCTTAGCCTCATAATGGCTTAACAACAATATGATTCAAATTTTTTCTTTGGCTAGAATTAAACCTAAGACCTCTCACTTGCAAATGAATAGGAATACAACTAAACTATAGTACTAAATGACTTGTTAAAAAAAATAAAAAATTAATAATAAAAAAAAGAGAAAAAAACAAAGCAGACTTTTCGTAGTCGGCGATGATTGTATTGAAATTCAAAGTCACATTTCTTGTGATATATGTATATATACTTACCGTCTAGTCGGAGAGAGTCAAGACTCAAAAAAACCATTTGGATCGAATACCTTACATGACTATCGGTGATAATAACGTATAGGCCGTTGACATTCAGGGAGATTCAAACACCTACCTTAGTTGACAAATCACCTCCACATTTAGAGAAAAAAAAAAAAAAAAAACCAAAGAATGAAAAATAAATAAGGGTGTGACCATAACCATCAACTAAAGAAATTTATTTATTTATTTTTGTTGCTCGCCTTGTAATTTGAATAATACGGGTATATCTTTCATTAAAAAGAGAGAGGGGAGGCGAACCACAGTTCTCCACTCTTTTTAGATTTGAAGGAGGTTAGTTGGGAATTATATATACTCTATTCGTGGCCACAATCTGTAAAACTTTGTTTGAATGACAATGAGATTACAAGTGGACTACTTGGGTGGCACTTAACTAGTTGTACTAGTTATGTGAAACACAAGGAGTCTGAGGGCCTTAGTATGATAAGAGTTGTGGAGTTTTATATATTGCAGCTGATCTATTTAAATCCTTATCGAATATATAATAGTATCATAAGAGTCGTGTGTCAATTGTACCATATAAAAATATATTATCTCCTTTTTCAAATTTTCTGAGTTTAATTTAATATATATATATATATAATTATATAGTCATATATATATATAATTATTAGAGTATTTTTAAGGGTATAAAATTGTTAAATTAATATTTTGCTTATCGTGTATCTGGTTACCCATGTGTATATCAGGACCAACCCGTTATCTTAACAGGTGCTTATCGGGTTACTCGATAACGACCCAATTCATTATCGTGTTGACCCGATAACCTGTTAATTTCGTGTCGTTTCATATCGAGTTAACAAGTTGTGTCAGAAATTGTCAAGTCTAACGTAACCCAACCACTCAACAATAAATGGTCTATGGCGACTAAATAAGAGTAGATATACACACATATGGGTTAGCAATGGTTGACAATTCAATTTTTTAACACACATTTTACAAGGTTTACTTTGTAACGCATCTCAACGATCTAATCATTTATTTTTTAGGTCTTACCTCAAAGATTATGTCTATAAAAATCACTCAAATCCGAAATCATATGACTCTTGGCTTAAATGAATGTAACTTTAATGTTTCTTTACATAATCGTATTCGTATATTTTTTTCATTACAAATGAATGTCTTAATGATTTTGGAATTGTCTCATCTTTTGTAAGGATCGATAAATAATAAATTGAGATATAGACGGTTCAAATCGCTAAAAAAATTACAGAATGAGTCCTACAAATTGTGTATTTAAAAATGAGATTCGTAGATGCTAACCCTATATATATATATAGAGAGAGAGAGAGAGTAATGCTAGGGACACTAAATTTCTAAACCAAATTTTGTAAATCAAATTATGTGAATGTTGGTTATTAATTATTATTTAAATGTTGATTAACGAATTTGCCTCTCTAACATTATCCAATATATATACACACGCGCGCGTATATATTTGGCAACGTGAGAGAAACATGAGATCATAGCTGACATCTTTTGGGAAAAGTCATTACTTGCACACGATAGCTTGTGGCTAGAATCATTGCCTGCCAATTATAAGATTGCATGGGTTCAAATTCAATTTGGACTCTTGTTGTAGTGGTTTCTTAGGTTTAGGTTTAGGTTGTAAGAGAGTGTCGTGTGAAGGAGGTTGGAAAGTGATTGAGCCATTATTGGGGCATGCATGCATAAAGATGGATAGCTAATTAGAAATGCTCACAAATTTATAAAATAAAAAAAAATAAAAAAAAATAAAAAAAAAAACTAATGATAACAGCTTGAAAACTTCAAGTTTTAATGATAAGGACAAAATAAAGGGTAAAATGAATAGTATCATGTTTGACTTTCTAGTGTTAAAATACGATTTTTCGTTAAAATGAATAGTACCGCAAGTTTTTTTGTTAAAACTTCCAATGTCATCACAAAAGGTTTTGAATAACGAGAAAGAATAATAATGTACGTACATATTAGGCGGATGATTATTGAGTTACCAAGTCTAAGTGGAAGATGATACATACTGAGATAGATGAAAACTGCAACTAAAATTAAAAAAAGAATAGGAAGTATGGTGGATGAGAAAGCTAGTAGATTTTAGGGAACTTCAATGAAAAACTTCTAGTACTGTTCACTTTAACGAATAATCACATTGTTACACTAAAAAGTCAATCATGGTATTATTCACTTTACCCTTTATTTTGTCCTTATTGTTAAAACTCAAAGTTTTCAAGCCTTTTTCATTAGTTTTCTTTAGATTTTAAGCTGCAGGGAAAATAAGCTACGTGGATTAAATTGCATCGTACTAATTAAACTAATTGTGTAAAAATGTAGATGACAATAGAGCAAAAGTCCAAGAATAGATGGCGAAAGATAAAATGCATGACAAGAGGAAGTTAAAGTATGTTCATTACCATTATGCTTAAGATAACTGTGAAAAGATAAATTGCTAGAAAATATAAGTACTAAGAACTACGGTATACTACTAGTTTATGAAGCGTAAATTATATTTTACAACAATTTAACATTTCCGTCAATTTTACCGTCTAACTAGACATTAAAAGGTAATGTGACGTATACTTGGCCCACTTTTAAGCACTTGTTAACCGTCAATTTCAATGTTTAGACTTTACTCCTTATTTTTTTAATCCTTTTATGAAATTGATAGTCAACTTATGCTTAAAATATGGTCCAAGTCTATGCCACATCATCACTTAACATCTAATTAGATGATGAAATTGACGAAGATGTTAAATTGGTACAATTTAAAAACCATGTGATGTAAAGTATATAAAAATTAAAACTCATGGTTCATTTTGCAAATGACACACAAACTTTGTGGTGTGAAATATGGTCAAGCCTTTATGAAATGACAAAAATTAGTAAAGCGACGTTTCGTCTGACTTTGTGTTTCTCCTTCTGCAATTCTAAAGTAATTTACTCAATTAAGCAAAAGTAATTTTCTTAATTAACCTCGGAAAGTGAAAGTAGCCTATAGT